TCAGCGTCGCCGCCAGGCCGTCGGGCACCGGCGCCGCGAACAGCCGCGCCACGAGCTGCGCCGCCGCCGCCCGCACCGCCGCGTTGCGCCCCGTGACGACGTGCTGCAGGAGGATGTCCAGGGAGGGCAGGCAGGCGCCGGGTGCGGCTCGGAACGCCGCCACCAGCCCCTCGGCCTGCAGCCGGGTCTTCTTCTTCGTGAGCAAGTCCGTGAGGGCGGCACGGAAGGCGGACCGGGCGGCCTCCACGACTGGGTGGGGAAGCAGGGGTTCGAGGAGGGAAGGGAAGGGGGGATCATACACACAGCGCAGCATGCCAACTGCCGGCATCTGCCGGGGGAAAGGGGGAAGGGGAGGAAGGGGAGGAAAGACGAACCACAAACGAGTGAAGCTGCTGCCAGGAAGGGGAGGAAGGGGAGCGAGGTGGGGCACCCACCGGTGTCAAACCCGCGCCAAAGCCCCGACTGAATCCCCCCCTACCCAGGACCGGACCAAAGTACTCCGGAACCAGCACCATCCCCACGCGCAGTACGGCAGGACGTTGTTCGGCCTTCCACCCCACCATCACGACCAACACATCCGCATCCGAAACCACCAACCCCTTCCCCCACCGTCTTCGCACCCATAGGAGGCCCTTCCCCCCCTTTTCCCCCCCTTCCCCGCACGGTATGTTCCCGCACTCACCATCCGCCTCCTCCCCCTTCCCTTCTTCCTTCCCCTTCTCCTTTCCCACGCCGTTTCTGGCAGTAGCAGTCGCAGTCGCAGCCCCCGCCCTCAGCATTGCGGTGAAGGCGAGCCACGCAGTCCCCGCCACCACCTTGTCCCGGTTGCGTGATGCCTCATACAGCAGCTTCTTGAGGGAGGTGGAGTAGCCCTCCAGGCCCCCCAGGGCGGCCAGGTCCACGTGAGGGCACCTGCGCGGGGGGTGGGGGGTGCGGTGTATGTGGGAGGGGGGGAGTGCGGGGGCAGCATACGTTTGGGGGTTGACGGGTATTGGGCTCTGGACTGCCCGACCCGACCCGACCCGACCCGACCCGACTCACGTCTTCGTTCACTTCCCACCCAAAACCAACACGCCACTGCGAACCACTTCCTCTCCCCACACATACCATTTGGCATATAACTCCCTACACCTACATGCACACCTACATGCACATCTACACACATACATACATACACACCGCCACACCACCAGCACCCTTTCGTCCTTCTCCCCGCACTCACACCCACCACACCGGTGTCATTCCCCCCTCCGGGGCCCCGGGGTGGACAAACTCACTTGCACTTGCACAGCTTGTTGTTGAGCACCCCCGCCAGCCGTGTGGCCATCTGGGGCTGACCCCCGGGTCGCGAGGCGGTGGCCAGGGCGCGAAGCAAGGGAACTAAACAGGCCAGCAGCAGGGGGCTGTTGGGCGCCTGGGGGGGGCAGGAAGGAGGGAAGGGGGGAGGAAGCGGCGGCGAGGTGGTGGAGGTGGTAGTGGCGGGGTTTGTGGCTGCACCTTGCGTCACACACAACAACGCCGCACTCTCAGCTGGAGGCATGTCGTGCAAAGTATGACAAAAAACATGCATCACCTGTCTGTGTATGTATGTATGTATGTATGTTTCTGTCTGTCGTGGTGGGTTTCGAGGAAATCCCCTCACCAGCAGGAACCCCTTCCCCTTCACCCCCATGCCCCCAGCCCCTTCAAATACATCATAAAGGTTACCAGAGGGTTGTGTCAAGACCCACCAAGCCAACTGGTAGCTCCACCGCGATTTGTGTATCACTGGAGGCAAACGAACCACCGCCCAATTACCACCACCAAAGCCCCGAAGGGGTGATAGCATCCCCGGGAGCGACCGGGGGAATTAGACCCCCCCCCGGCCCGGGCTCCCCACCTCCCCCACACCCTCTTCCGGCGCCAAGAGGGTCTCCGCGCCCCGCACCTTCTTGGCAAAGCTCTCCAGCAGCCCCAGAGCCCTCAACCGGAAGTTGAGCAGCGCCGCCGCCCGCTCCGCCGCCGCTGCCCCCCCCGCCCTGCCCCCCGTCATGGAGCGGAGGTAAGCCGCCAGCGTGGAGTCCATCCGGAACATGGCCTCGTCGTCCATAGCGTCACCGTCATCGTCATCGTCGTCTTCGTCCGCCATTTCCTTGGCCCTCTCCTCCGATTTCCTTTTGGCTTTTTTATCCCGGCCAGCTCCCTCCTCTCCATCGCCGCTGCTCCCATCCACCTCCTCATCGTCGTCGTCATCATCATCGTCGGATTCGGAGCCGCCAGAGCCGGCCCCTTCTTCCTCCTCGTCACTTTTCTTCCGCTTCTTCGACGCCGGCTTCCGCCCCTCCTCCGCTTCCTCTTCCTCCTCGTCATCCTCCTCGCTATCCCCCTCCCCCTCCCCCTCCTCTTCGTCGTCGCTCTCAAACAGTCCGGCCGCGTCCTGCCCCTCGCCCTTACCGCCCGCCGCCACCACCCGCACAATGTCCGCCACACCCGCCCCACTGAGGCCCTCGCAGCACTGCCGCCACAGCGACTCAGCCGCCTCGCGGATAGGCAGGATGGGCACCGACCCGCCGGGTCGCGCCATCAACGCCAGCATCACGTCCACCAACACGTCGCTCCAGGAGCCCTCTTCTGCCGTCCGTCCGTCCGTCCGTCCGTGAAGTTACCCAGGAAAACGGAGTGGGGTGGGTGGGGTGAGGTAAAGATGGTTGGGTGGGGTCGGGCAAGACGGAAACTTTACGGGTGAGGAGGAAGGGCGGCGGACCACTGGCCAAGGAAATTATAGGTAAACACCCTTTGGCTCCTTATAGCCGTTTCCTTCCGCTTCGTCCTCTCTCTGGCCCCCCCTTCTCCCTCCCTCGCCCGTCAGCAGCACATTACTCCCCAATCACCATAAGGATCAACAGCACCCTGGAAAAGGATTCAAGTCCCTACAACAGACATACCCGGGGAGAGTGCACATCCCTCACCCCTCACCTGCTGGCTGCTTCCCCTCGGCCCCCTCCTCCTCCTCCACCACCTCCGGCAGCCCCTCCACCCCCAGCCCTTCCACTGCCACTCGCCGCAAACTGAGCGGCAAGTCCATTTCGAAGCCCTCAGGATCGGCCAAGAGCTGCAGCTGCAAGTGCGCGGCCAGAGCCGCCAGAGACCGCAGCCGGGCGGCGGCGGCGCCCCCACCCGCATGACCCGCGGGTCGGTCGGTATCCAGCTGGGCCAGACGCTCCAGGGACGCCGTCTCCACCGCCGCCAGCAGCTGCAACGCATTGTCACCATCCTCACCTAGCTCCGCTGCCGGCGTAACGCCAGGCGCTTTAAGCGCTTTACGGATGTACGACAGCGTGTCGTGCAAGTGCTGGTGTACGGATGACGGCGGCGGAGCCTCCGCTGCCTCCGCCTCAGCGGCGGCAACGCCGGTGGCCATCTTGCGCTTCTTGGTCGCAGGTGCACCGGCGCTGCCGGCTGTGGCTCCCTTGCCCTCCTCCGCCTTGTGTTGCTGGTGTTGATGTACGGCACGGATGCGCGCTTGCGCCGTACGTGCGAGGTGTGTTAGGAGGGCCAGCAGGCGGGAGGCGCAGGTGCTCCTGGTCGCCGGACTCAGCGGCACGGTGAGGTGCTTGGCCGCCTGCTGCACCTCCAACAACTTAGATTTTGATGCCTGCGGTTTTGCGGGCATGAAGGGAGGACATGAGAGGGTTTGGCGCTATTCCAGCCGCCAAACGGCCCTCCGACAGACCGACTGCCACATAAAGAGTAGGTCGAACGTGTACCACATATTACCCCGCCAGTTCCCTCACCGCGGCTCAGATCACGCACACACAATACACATGGGCACCTTCCCCCCGGCCCCTCACCTTGCTCTCCTTGCCCCCCTGCACCTGCGCAAAGGCATGCAGCGCCAGGAACCTGATACCCCCCTCGCAGTCCGCGGGGGCAGCTGAAGGGAACTTGAGGGCGGCCAGCAGCTGCTCCACGCTCTGACAGCGCCGGTCTGCCGCCAGCTGCCGGGGGAAAGAGCGCGGGGAGGACAGGGAGGGATAAATCAGGGAGAGACGGAAAGACAGCAACAACCCCTCTCCCCGCCCGTAACTCCCCCCTTCCCTTCCCTTCTCATGCGTTTCAGGCAGGGTTTTAGGGTTTTTGGGAGGATGCTCCCTAGGGAAATACCCCCCTCTCCCCCCAAAAAACACTTTTTACAAGCCGCTTTCCAAGACAAGGAGCCGCCCTCACAGCGTCTTCTCCAGCTCCGCCTCACCTGCGCCACATCCGGCTCCTCCTCCTTGTCCTCCTGCTGCTTGTCCCCCCCTTTGTCCCTCCCTCCCGCCCCCAGGCCCCCCCCGGGCCGCAAGGGGGCCGCCCCGCTCAGGAAGGCCGCCATCAGCGACTCCACGTAGCGGTGGACTCCATCACCGTCCAGACCCTGAGGGCCGAGAGGAGGGCAGGTACGTGGTAATTAGCAGGTAGTTAATCAGTTAGGGAAGTCGGTAGGTTGGTGGGTAGTGGGGTTGACAGGTCAGCAGGCGGTCATTCGGGCCGCGGGCTGCGGAGTAGAGTCATATGGAGTTAGCCCACCCCGTCATCAAGGCACAGGACACCTATCCAATCCACCCAGCGGCTGTAGAGCAGGTCTTTTCAGGGCCGACATAAATACATACATACATGCAGGCAGGCGGCTGGCAGAGGTTAAGGCCTGACTTCTGCTCCCGGAGTGTCCGGGTTCAAATCCGCCTTCCGACTTCTCGGGTGTTTGAGAAGTGTTGAAATGGGAGGTGGGCCCCCATCTTATGGACGGTGTAGGACGTGATAACATCAACTTGCGAGCTGACCAGGAGCTACATTGATGATCCGCTAGATTTGGTTGGATGATGGTGGTGAGTTGCTGAACCCAACGATTACATTCTGAAGTCGGATGGGGTGAACGGATTAGGGTGCCCCTCACGCAGGGGAGAGCAGGGAACTGCCTCGGGAAAGGGGGCCGCGGGTGAAGCTTAAACACCCTGTAACGACATACATACATACATGCAACCAAGCAGTCGTGCAGCTGGACTCCACCGGGCGTCGCTGCCCCTCATTCGCCCCCTGGCCACCTCTGACCCCCCCCCCACACACACATCGCTGTCCAGTGCCCGCGGCGCTGGTACCGCCCTCGCCCCCCGACCCTCCCCCTGCTGCCCCCACCTGCACCAGCTTCTGCGTGAGCTTGCTGGCGGTGAGCTGCTTCACCGCCATACCCCCCAGTCCCTGCAGGGCCCCCGCGACCGCCATCTTCACTCCGCTGTCCGCCCCGCTGGACCGCTCCAGGAACGCCGACAAACCGTCCTGCGGCCCAACCGGGGGGGGGGCAGGGAAAAGACGAACCACAAACGAGTGAAGGGGGGGGAGGGGAGGGGGGCTGAGGAGGGGGGCTGAGGAGGGGGGCTGAGGAGGGGGAGAATGTGAGGGAGACGAAGGCGAGGCGGACTGAGCAGTGCGACCGAGGAGGGGCTGACGAACAACAATGATAGTATATGCTGGAAAACAGATAGGGAACTGGCTGGATAACAGGTACAACATCCCAAAGCCGGGATGTTGTGTATACGCATGTGTTGCATCCTGCATGCACTCTCTCTCTCTCTCTCTCTCTCTCTCTCTCTCTCTCTCTCTCTCTCACACACACACACACACACTCTCACTCATACACGCTGATAGACCCCCTTCCCTTTCCACGCCCCCTTCCGCGCCTTCCCTTCCCTTCACCCCCCGCCCACACACAGACGCATACATGCACACACACAAAACACAACGTCATCATTTGCACCCCCCGCAATTCCCGACCAACCCCACAGCCGTAACTCACCAGCAGTTTCCTTGCACTTGCGTGCAGGTAGCTGTCCGAGCGCTTCACACTCGCGACCAACGTGCGCGTGAAGGAGGGGGAAAACACAACCGGCACGTGCTCCGGTCTCAGGTGGGGCAGCACCCGGCTGAACAGCTGGAAGCCCAGGTACTTCCGGTCATAGCTGCTGCCCATCAGTCCGCCCTCCACCACCACACTCCAAAACGCCTCCAGCAGCGGACCCTCCACGGAGCCCTTGCCCTCGGCGGACTTGGCCGCGGCAGCCGCCGCCTTGGCAGCCTTCGCAGCCGCCTTGGCGGCCTTCTTGTCGCCGCCGGTAGCGGCTGCGGCTGCGGCAGCGGCGGCTTCGCCGCCGCCCGGCGGCTCCGTCGCCGCCGTCGCTACCTCCAACAGGTCCATGTTCCTGTGCGGTTTAAATCCCGGCAGTAGCAGCGGCAGCAAGTACTGCCACAGCGTGTGCATGCGCGGGTGGCTGCCCGAGGTCGCCAGCAGTGCGGGCAGCAGCAGCTGCAGGTGCTCGCGGCTGAAGAGGCCGGCGGAGGTGGCCGCGACGGCCTCCGCCGTCAGCTGCACGCTGCCCGCCGGGCACCCCGCCCTAAAGAACACCTCCGCGGGCGGGCGGGGCGTGTTGGCGGGCAGCAGGCGGCAAGTGCGCAGCACGCTGGGCGGCAGCTTGGGCCACAAGGCGAGGGCTAGCAGCAGCGCCTGGTGTGCGGGTGCGTGCGGGTGCGGGTGGGGAAGGGGGAGAGGGTACATGAACGCGGGGGAAAGAGGGGGCCTGGGTAAGTTTTCCTCCAGGCGAGCCAGGCCGATATAACTCCTACAAGAGCCAGCTGCCACTACACACACCAAAGCCCGGGCCGGGCGGTGTTACAGCGCCTGGCGGTAAGAGGCTCGTCGGGTAGAGGAGGTCCGGGTAGGACAAATAAGAATGCAGGCAGACAGACAGACAGACGCCCATGCGCCCAATAAACGCGCACCTCTGGTGTTGCCTCCGCTGGCGCCACCGACAGCATCGCCGCCAGGGGCTGTCCGGGGGCCGCCAGCGCCGCCAGGGTCTGCTCGTCCATCCGCTGCGCCGCCTCCAGAGCCACCGCCGCAGAGCACTCGCGGAGGAACGACTTGCGGTGACCGCAGTCCAGCAGCCCGTTGAACAGGGCCAACTGCGCGGACGGCTCCAGGGGCAGTCCGGTACGGAGCACGGCGCCGTACCCGAACAATCGGCCAAGGAGGGTGTCCTTGGCGTCCTAGGTGGGGTGCGTGTGTGCAGACGGCGGGCGGGTGTGCAGATGGTACGGCGGTGTGAAGTAGGGGTGAGGTCTTTAGCTCCACCCGCGGTCACAAGCCTGACCGGCCCAAGCGCCTTCCCCGTGATGCTTCAGGGCACCTCATGCATGTGCTTCTCATCACCAGGGACTCCTTTCCGGGCTCAGATCCCATCACCACCACCACCACCACCACCAGCATTCAGAGGAAAATCTGTCCCCATATCAACGGCGGGCGACGTCAAAACCCCACTCCTGGTCAGTCGGCTCGCAGGTGTGCCACTACGATCGACTCCCATTACATTCATTGGCATGGGGGCACAGACACCCACTCACAGTGGAGAGAACTTAATCCCGCTGTTTGTCGGGATCGATCCTGGAACTTTCCAGGGACGCTGTGCAGCACCTTCGCCATATGGCACGTGTGTATGCAGGTATGTACACAGTTCAGGCACTGCAGTAAAGCACACACCGATGCCCCCGGGGGTTCCGGGATCGAGACCTGTCAGGGTCGAAAATCCTTCCGATGGTAGAAGGTAAGAGTGCCCCTAGTCGATGGACGATGGTGACCTGGGATAAAGTCGACCTGGGAGCCGACCAGGAATAGAGTTGGGCCGCCATCAGCACTAGGGGGCCCCCCGCCGCCCATCCCGTCCCCGTCCCCACAGGTCCGTGCAAATCAGTAAACTCACCACACCCAGGTCCAGCCCACCACGCCGTCCCTGCCGTTGACTGCGCCACTAGCCGCCCTCCCCTCCACTCCACTGATCCACCCCCGGTGGCCCCATAGGTCCACACCATCCGCCGCCCTCCTCCGTACAACCCCCCCCACACCTTCCTCCCCGAACACCCCGCCGTAAACTGCCGCCCAGGACGTCGTGGGTTGTTGTTTCTTTTTGGATCTTGACTTTTGCTGAATGTAAATCCCACCTCACTCCCCTGCCTGCCCACCCGCCAGTATCCCTCCAGCCGCCCGCTGCCGCTGTCATCCGGGCGACATCCCAATCCCCCCACACCACCCGCCCAGCACTCACCCCTCCCTTGAGCGGTCCGTCAATGCAGACATCTAGCAGCACCAGCACTCCCGCCGTGGTGACACAGCGCGTGGCGGCAAGCAGCCCCGTCAGCGCGGCGGCGTAGCCTTGGCGGGCGGCCTGCCGGGAGGAACCCAGACCGCGAGCCAAACGCCGAAGAGTGTAGACCTGGGCAAGGAGAAAAATCAGGAGAGAAAATCACACACGATTGTTTGCCCTGTTGGGTGACGGATTGCGACATATGCTGGCTTAGTATGCGAGGGGCATCGTGAGATGGGAAGGTGGCTGATAAACTGAACGTCCAGGGGGGGTGTAGGTGCTAGGGCGGTGGTATGGGACATTGCTATGTCAAAAGCCGCCGTACCATTGTTGGGGAGCAGCGGCGGAGGTGGTATTCCAGGAGCTTGATCTTGGGGGCGCCCTCCTCTGGCGGGGGCTCGGTGTCCTTGCCCAGCGTGGCGAGGTGCTTTGACTGGTCGTCCGTCAGGTCCTTGACGAGGGCACGAGCAGCGGCGACGCGGACATTCTGCACGGATGGGACGACAATGGGAAGGTTTTTTGTTGCAACATCTCACGGCGCGCTTATTTCAACGGCCTAAGTATTTGGACGTTGGTGGGATAAGATGATGGTTATTAGGCCTTCGGGGGCACTGCTGCCGCCGCCACGCCGGCAGGCCGCCACGTACCTCGTCGTAGGACGCCATATCCCAAAAGTATTGCAACACCTGCCATTGCAAACAACGTGCACAGAACCAGATTGGTTAACAAATGTAGCCTATTCGCGTACAGCATGGCTAGACGGAAACCTTGGAGCTTTCTAACTAGAAGCCATCCATGACTCACTGCTTGACTCGTTGTAAGGGGCGTAACCATGTCGTGATTTCCATTCGCATCATCGCCGCCGCTGTGTAAATCCTTTTCGCTCGCCATGCTTGGCAGAGTCCCCGAAATTTAGGAATAAAACATTTAAAAAGGCGTGTTAAACTCTGAAGGTTGTCACAGAGCAAACGATTCTCGAGCATGCAAATTTAGTCGAGCCGTATTTTATGCACGACACAATATGCGAAACACTTGCGTGCAAAAGTCCCATGCTGCAGGAGATGAGGGAAATCGCAATACGTGACTACTTCATAGGTATTTCTGCCACTATTAGTTTGAGCATTTTACTTGGCTGGCGCTGCTGCAATTAAACGTAACCCCGGCTTTAAACCAGTGCGTCCCTTGGTAACTTCATTTCTGTAGGCGTACACATGCTGATTAAGGCCTAAAAACTTGTTTTTATCGAGTCCAAGTTAGGGATGGAGTGCAGGACAGGACTTCCTAGGCTTTAGTTTTAAGGGTGTAAACCCCTTTAAAGAGGAATGCTTGCAAGAGGTCGGGCATCAGTTGGAGCTTGTAGGGGCCTGACTGGCTACTCCTGGTCTGTTGGGAGAGTCTGCAGCGGGAGCCTCAAGGCAAGGTGCTTTCGAGGTGAGGCCTTACGTTCTCCCTTTTCCGACGTTTGCCTGTGTTCTATGTATTTTGATGCTTTGGCGTAATCGGTATCCACAGAATCACGAGCGCCGCGGGTGATGTCGTCAACTTCGTCCTCGACTTCGCGGTCCTGTTTCTCGGGTCATTCAGCCACCGAATTGCAACGCTGGCTGGTGAGGATGGATACCAGTTTATTTGCAACGGCAAATAATCATGCGAGGGTGAATCCTGCACCGTCGTGTTCCTGCCTTATCTTTTCTTTCAAACAGGAGCAAGGTGGCGTTGACACCGCTGTTTATGGGACGGGCATGGCAAAGACTGTACACGAACTTTTCGACGAGGTGCGCTGGCCTTTGGCGTGTTGGACCAGAAGCGGACCCAGGGGTCCAATACTATTGAACAGGAGCCAACACAAGGTTGGCATTTTCACTACTACCAACTTTAGTAAACATACGGACTTGGAGGTGCATCAAGATGCCGCGGTCTACCGGAAGTACGCGGTATCGTCATAAACCAGTTACAGTTTTACCAGCGGCGAGCCAGCCAGGGAACGTAGCCAGAGGGGAAGCAGTCTCGTCCAGGGACCCTGGGGCCTCGCTGCGCTGCAGGCTGGGGAAGAAGCATCATGGCCCGTACATCGTAAGGACCCGCCACAGAGCACGCAGGCAGTGCGGATATGCCAGGGGGGGGGGGGAAGAAAGAGGGGATCACATGCGAAAATCAAAGAAACAACCGGGGGACCCCGGGGCGGTGAGGGAGGTCGGACTTGAGGTCCGGTTCCGCTTGTGTCGCTCTAAGTAGCTCCTCCTCCTCCTCTTCTTCTTCTTCCTCCTCGCCCTCCTGGTCTCTCAGGTCAGGGGGGGAGGGAAGTGTAGAGGGACTCGCGTGTTGCGTCGAGGACGACCGTCAGGGTTTTTTTGCTTGCATCCGGAAGAGAAACGAAGGAGGGCGGAAAGGAGGGAGGGGGGCTGCTGCCTGTGCGAGCTCAGAGCCGCAGGTTAAGGCGGAAGGGGAGGGGGGAAGGGGAACCCGGTTAAGATGGTGCCGAGCAGCTTACTGGCTTACAGGGGTGTATGGGTGTATGTGTGTGTATGAGAGCGGTTATCACACCTCCTCCGGGCGGGAAGGGGGAGAAAAGGAGGAGTAGTGCATTGCCGCCTCGTCTCTCCCCCTCCCACCCATCAATGCTTTGAACTCCGGACTCCGACGGCAGTTGGAGCAGTTTGGCTTTCGCACTATGTGGTGATTTCCACCACACACATCACGCAGACCACACACCGCGCACACTGGGGCGAAAACACTTGCCTCTTAAACCCCCCCCCCACTTTTCTATTCGTATGTAATTAAATGTTAGGTGACGAAGCAGGAAAGTGTGTTGGAGCTGGAAGGCGGCAAGGCGCTGCGAATTGTCAATGTGCTGTCATTGCACATCCTCAACAGCCGAGGACAGGTGGGCCCCGGGAGGTGGGGTAGGGGGGTTTAGGGTTCCAGTCCGTGCTGACCTGACGGAGGCGGGGTTTTAGGGCGGTGGGAGCACTCCGCGAAGTCTAGGGTTTTATGCGTATATGCGTGTTTTGGGGCCTGGGGGGCTGGAAAAAGGGGGAAACGCGGGGGTGGAGAGAGGGGAAGTACGTGCCGGCATTGTGTGCTGCTGCTCTGCGACACAGCTCTGTGGTAGCACGGATTTCCCCCCGGCAACCTCCGAGAGGCCCTAAGAAGTGCTTCACTGGGGTGTAAGCAGCAGCAGCAGCAGCATGAGCGGAGTTTGCCAAGATAGGGGTCAACCCCTCCCACAGAGGGTATGCTTTCCCCGCCGTGCCCCTTTCCGGGTTTCCGTGTGTCCCCGGGGGCCCTACGCCTGCTGGGAGATTCCCAGCTGATGTCATCGCATCATCACCCGCCCAAACCCTGGCATCCATCATTCGTGTCCGTCCCTCTGTCCGTCTGTCTGTTTGGGGGATTTTTCCCCTCGGGCTGGGGGATAACGGCTTCTGTTTCCCTTCGTCTTCCCATCAGGTTCCACAGCCACCTCCGCCTGCTGCCCCCCTGTACCCCCGGCCCCCAGATATTGTTCGAGGACGAGCAGGTTCTTCCGGACGGTCGCTCCCGCCGCCGCAATGTGCCTGTGAGTGAGAAGATGGTGGGTGATGAGTCCTGGCTGGCGGCGCTGCACCGGGCGGTGAGGGAGGAGCTCAGCAGCGCACTGCCCGAGGATTACAAGGTGGGACCCCGGGGGGGGGGGGCCGCGCCCGGGGGGGGACGAGGGGGGGGGAAGGGAGGGGAAGCCGGGGTGAAATGTGGTCCGGGGGGGAACGGGGTGCGAGTCAGAACACCACCGGGGTCCAGGAGGGCTAAGGGGGGGGGGAGGGGGGGAGGAGGGGAGGCCCCTGGGGGGGGTCGGTGGATGGGGGCCCCCGAGAGGGGGGGTCTGGTTTGTATTTTGTGCGCTGCGTTGCCGAGGTCGGGCAGCAGAGTGCTCCACCATTGCCTACCCACCATTGCTAGTTGTTTTCCGTACGATTTTATGTACGACCACTAAAGTCACGTCAGCTACTGCCACCTAGCCCCTCCTCTTCCCTCAGCTCCCCATCCCCCCAACCCCACGCGTTCTTGGTTCGTCTTCCCAACCCCCCGTCATCATCGTTTCGAACGCTGTCCGCAGTTTGCATGTTGGACACCGCCAGTGGCTTCCCTTTACCCGACTTTTGCTATTTGCTATCTTTGACAATTCCTCCCCCCCCCCCCCCCACACACACACACGCATACAACCCGCAGGTGACGTTGCTGGATGATTCGTACTTCCTGCGGACCGAGTACTCGAGCTCCATGAGCTACCCGGGACTACTGACAAAGGTACGGCACGGTACGGCGTCAACGTGATTTAGTGCGGAACGCGGTGATGCGTGCCGTGTACACGGGCCGGTTACGCCGCACCGGCCCATCCCGTCCTTCTGCCGTACACAAACGGATTTGGATCTGCCTTTCGTACCGATCCGTTCCCTTCGTGCCACCCCCTCTAGCCCCCGTCTAGATCCACCCTAGGGCCCCCACCCTCATCTTCCTTCTTCCCACGCTCGCCACGGCCGCCTAAACAATTCCCCTCCCCCTCCCCCTCCCATCCCCCTCGTGGTTCGTCTTTCCCTCCCCCTCCCCCTCCCCTTCACTCGTCTGCGGTTCGTCTTACCCCCCTCCCCGCACCCCCGCCACCTTCCTGACCATACACCGCACGGGGCACGCGTCTGCAGTACATTTTCCACCGGGTCCGCGCGCGTGTGTCCGGTATCCCGGAGAGCCCCTTCAGCACCGTGGAGGTGCGGCCCGGAGGCCAGCTGCTCACCAAGTGGGTGTGGAAGGCGCCGCCGCCGCAGGAGACGTTCTAGGCTCCGGCGGGAGGGGGAGGGGATGAAGGCGGGGGGAGGGGGGAGGGGGGAGGGGGGGCCAGCAGGAGCCCCTGCCAGAGTCGGCCCAGCAACCGGCAACCAGCCTAGCGGGCGGGGCTGGTGGTTGATCCTGCTCCTTGGGCCTGAGTCTGGCTCCGGGTCGAGGTGTGTGCTGCGATCACCCAGTTGTTGAGTGGTGCTGGGACCTGTGCCTGCCGCTGCGGTTTGTGCGGTTTTTCAGGTTTCAGGAGGAGACCGGGGGGGAATAGAAGGAGGATTAGAAAGAGAGGGGGTGGGAAAATGGATGAGTGGACTGGGTGCGGCGTGTATGTGTGTATGTGTGTGTGGGGGGGAAGTAATTGGGGTGTGGAGTGTTTTGAGGAGACGGCGCAGAAGATCTTATGGGACGAGGGGAGATTTAAAGGAGCCCCCAGGCCCCCCATGAGGTGAGGAAGGACCTCTTGTGACTGCCAGTAGCGGCCAGAGTGGGAGTTGCTCTCAACCTGTTGCCGTACCTTACCGGCAGCCGTACAGGGCCCCGGGGCCCGTGCGGCGGGGTCCTGAGCTCCGCTAGTTGCCCGACATGGACCTGAACATGGACATGGCGAATCGGCGACCCTGACAGCGAGACAGAGGAATTGAAGTGACCGATAAACTGGTAATACTATTCTGAGCTGCAATGGCCGGGTGGCATGGACGACGACGTTAATGCCCTACCGAAGTGTGTCGTCGTGCGGTGCGGTCTTTGGTGCGCTTGGGCTTTAACCGGGTGGTCGATCCTTTGAACCGGCGACGGTACTGCATTGTAGTACAGTGAGGTACGGCAGCGCTTCTGCAACGCTGTAACACCCGGAAGCCTTCTTGACAGGTGACCGGGTGGTGGTGGTGTGTACTGGTGCCGGTTCGTAGCTCGTGGCAGGACCTGGTATCGTTCATCACCATAGGGGGCTGCATGGGGGCGTGTTTTGCGATGGGTGGTGGCTGACGTGGTGGCTTGGCGCCATTAGCTATTCCAGTGCATTGAAGCGGTCATTTCGGCGACAAGGCGCATTCATGTTGCAAGGCTTTTAGGGCCATGTGATGGCACGGTTTCGGAGCAGCTGTTTGCTGTAGAGCGGCAGGGCGCCCCGCATTGGGGCCAGCAGGTGTAGGTGTCTCGATACCCTCTCATCGAGGGTGGTGGGTGGCAGCCAAGGCGGGTAGGGGGCCAAGTTGGATTGTCAGCTCGGACGAGGACGAGGACGAGGAGAGGGTGGAACCGCCGCTGGCGACCCGGCGGGTGGAGGTGGTGGCGCATATGGTGGCGCGAAGTTGCTGCGGTTGGATTTGCGGGAGAGGATATCGGATATGCGGGTCGCCTAGCCCGACCCCACCACGATGTGCTTGCTAGTCGTTAGTGACGAGGGACGACTTTGCTATTTCGAGCGGGACAGGGCAACAAGAAATGCCAACTGCAGCTTCTAGGTTGTTGCCTACTCGGCACCGGACCTAAACAAGCAAAACGCGCGCAGCTGGAGAGACGATGGCGTACGTTAAGATTATAGAGCCTACCCACCCAAGTCCTGGAAGACATCAAGTAGACTGTGACCGACAGACAGACAGCTTCAGGAATCTCAGGCAGTCGTTCGGGGCGGTGACTGTGGCCACCCTGCCGCCCTTTCCTCCGTTGCTCCCTACGCATGTGTGTGTATGTATGTGGTGCTCAGCCAAATGAAGGGTGAGTCTCCGCAACGGTCTCGCAGCTGGTGCTAGAACATAGGGGTTCCTGTGCCCCAGTTGTAGACATGCGAGAGATATCAGGGAGATAGCGCAGCTCTGAACCGGCAAGACAGGGCAAACGCTAATATCTGGGAGGCTTCGTTACCACGTTCCATCACATCACTCTAGCAGCCAAAGCGATCCGCGGTTTCGAGTATGGTACTATAGTCAAACGATAGCGTCCGGCTTTAGTGTTCCCGCAACGGAGAGCCCCACGAGACGAATTTAAACCTCCGTACGCCGTGACCCATATGCTGTGATCTATGAACTTAGACCATCAGACCTTGGCGCGCAACCCAACCTCTGTACTCGATTCCCTACACGCCAACGTGCAGGGGTGAAAGTGCTTCCCATTAGTTTCGCCAATCGGACGTTACAAGCCGCACACGCGAGGGACTGGGAGGCAGGCGGACCAGCCCCTGCAGCTGGCACCCAACACGTTAGCAAGACACCACAGCTCCAGGACTGCAGTCCAGAGGACTTGAAAACAGATGCAGAGCGAATCTGGTCAAACGAGGCCATGGATTTTGCGATTATGCCTCTAGCACATACATCGCGTTTTGACTTGACGAAAACATAATTTGGCGACTTCCTCCTTGGCGGAAGATGTCCATACCCATAACATCATTTTCTTTCGGGATCAGATTAACCGCTCTTGCGGCGTAACTAGTGTAACCACGTGGATCAACGCAACTTGTAAAACAACTCCCTCCACAACTTCATATTAGGCAGCCTCCTCCTCCTCCGCCGCCGCCGCCGCCTGGTGGTCACGGAAAGGAATTAAAAAGGCTCCCAAAACGGCTTGCAGTCGTGGACAACAAAATATGCGTGATGTGCGTTGACATCCGCATTTTGACTGAACTGTATAAGGGCAGCAAACCTGTCAAACCTATTCCAGCCGTTTCCAACGTGAACGCGATGTCATCACATCATCAGTCGGATGCCCAGCCGGCAATGTCCGGGTGCCACGTATTAAAACACACAGCGAAAGTTAACTGAGCACACAAGACGCGCAAAACCCTTGACATGCACATGCAAACCACGGTAATGTCATCTAGTCTGCAGTTCAATTGCTACACTTTAGGTAGCCCGCGCGAAAAGTGCAGAAAAGCAGCAAAAACGGAGCGCACTGAAATGGACGATACAGAAATTCCCTTAACGCATGCGTACATGCCGCATAGATTGCTCTCGTGCCGTGCCAAGTTATACCATTCGCTCTATCCTCTCCTTCCCGAAGCCCAGGCCCATGCACAGAAACCAACCTCCTTCGGTTGACCGTCCGCCCGCCGAAGCCATCAAACAGCGACCCCCAGAGGCCTCCACCCAAAAATCAAGGACCATCGCCTTACTCCCATCTAGCTCGCACACAACGAATGAAGTTGTCGCTTGTAAGGAAGTTTTTCTAGTTATCCATGCAGCAACTTGCAACGACGTTGAAAGCCAACGAACCTTAGAATATCCTCAAAAACTCAAAAAGATAATAAAGGCACCAAAGCAAACAAACCAAAAGTGCCGCGAGCCAACATGGTATCACAGTAGACCTCTTCCCCCACCCAAGAAGACTCCCTGGGGGCCCTCCGAGCCATACTCCCGCAGGCATGTTCAGTGGTTAGCCGTGTAACCTGGACCCGCTGCTGTAGCATACGTTCGACCTGGGCCACCCTGTGTATTTCCGTTAGTCGTTAACCCACGACAGTTATAAAGCCATGTGCAGCCTTATCGAAGCAAAGCGCACTCACCAGCCGGGCGTGACGCCCGAAACATGATGTCGTTCCTTCCCCCAGCCAGAAACCCGTGCCACCGTGCTACCGTTCTGACTGGGCGCGCTGCGTTTGTTGCGTTGTAGCCAATTTCTGCGCTGCCCAATAACAACTTTCTTCTTCTTCCAGCATTTCCTGCCGCCCGCGGAAGCCAAACCAGCGCTCCGCTTGCCTCGCTGACGCCTCAGAAAGTGCCATCTTCCAATTAATAATAATATGCGCCGAGGTTCACAATCCACAACGAATGCCCGGATTCGTGCAGTATCAGTATGCAGGATGACCTTGTCGTTGCATAAGCCACGATCCGGTACCAACCAGGTTCCGACCAGCCCCCAGCCCCGGTTTGCAGTGATGATGAGCACTCCAAAAATAAAAACAGCCTTGCCATTCTAAGCCCCGAAGGCTTAACGGCATCTCTGCTGTGCGCGCTGGGCACGGACGGAAATTACGTCTTTGGCCTACGATAGCGCAAAGCACGCACACGGACAGATGCCCAGTTTACTGTTTTGCCGCAGCCACAGCTCAGTTTTCCCCCCTGTTATGTTCGTCACGTGGGGCACAACATTACGTTGCGCCTTGCCCATTGTTTTGCTGCTCCCCGTCGCTCGCTTGGGTTCGAGCCTCGTCGCCGGCACCGCTGTCGCAACCGCCATTGGAGGCTGTTGCCGTCGCAGCCGCGGGCGGCAGCTGCCCTGCCGCCTCGCCAGCAGCAGGCGGCCAATGCTGCACATCCAAGCCACAAGCGTCCGGCCATCCAGCCATCCGTTCCTGGTCGCGTTCCGCCTCGTCAGCGCCGGGCCCCGCATCTTGCCTCGCCAGTTCCCCACCTGAACTCATACTCGTACAGGTACCTGCCGCCCCGGGCAGGCCTCGACGGGAGCCCTCCATGCTCCGCGGCGAGGGGCGTTCGTCGTCATCGACTGCGCCACATTGTCGCCAGCCCTGCGGCGGCTGCGGTTGCTGTTGCGGTTGCTGCACTTCCAGTTCTTCCTTTATTGACGCTGATAGCGCCAGCGCGGCCCCGCTCTGCCGCGAATCATCCGCCCTGCCAACCATTGGCCTCTGCGCCAGGACAGCCGTTACAGCTGCATCGGCCGCTGCTGCTGCTGCTGCTGCTGCTCTTTGCTCGTCCGAGAATCGTCCTGTGTGATGTCTGTGGACGGAGGTCCCGGGGGAAGAGGAGCCCACGGCGGCCTCTGGTGCGCTTGAATCGTGACGCAGTGTACCCAGCTCAAGACGCAACTGCTGCTGTTGTTGTAGGAGGTCGACACCAGGCGGTATAAGCGGAAGGGCCCGCGGCGATGCGTCCGCCGCCGCAGCCCCGGCTGCTATGGCTGTGCCGCGGAGCATCGCGGATTGCGCCAGCGCCGGGAAGGGGGCTTCCCGGACATGGCGACCAACCGCACACCCGTACGATGGTGACCGCGGCTGGTCGGGCGAACATGGGACACGGAGGAAAAAGGCCAGCCGTCTCAGGACTAGAAATACGAATAGGAACACGACCGAAAAAGATCGTTGATTTCTATGTGAAGGACACAAAGGCGTTGGTCATTTAGGAAAATGATGAGGTGAGAGGACTACTCGGAAACAGAGCAGTAACGGGTCCGTAGGTGGTGGGTGGCACGCAAGTGGCCGCTCCGTGCGATGGAGCGCAAGGCCCAGCTCCGGCTCCTGTTGACTAGTCGAAGGCAAAGGTGCTGGATGCTACGGATCACAAAGGTTCAGCTGAACTCGTTCGTCCGAGCTCGCGTTCCTGCACTAGCTCGCGGCAATGTGTAAATCGCTTACCCGTGACTTTCGAGGCTCGTCGCTTCCTCCATCGCCTGCAAAGACTCAAGGGCGCAAGGAAAGCAAGAGTTCGTCAGGCAAAGCCTTGTACAGCAAAACCTGGCGAGGTGTCACATCTCTTCACAAGGTCTCCACGACATAAGATGCAAACAACAAGATGCCCTGACGGATGCATGGACGCCGCGCGAACTGCTCTCACATTGACAATCCGTTCGCCTATCATGGGGGCCAAACTGCGGCAAGCAATGCAACCTTGGCCGCAATTCCCAACCATTCAATACGCCGGTGGATCACTTCGTTACTGAAACACGCGACGCAGATGCCAGTGGAAAACGTAGAACGCAACCCCAACTGCAGTACAAATTCCTCACCGCCGCTACCCCGTTGATCCGGCCGCTTGCGCCTCCGTGCGTTGTGCCGTTGCAGCCTGTAGGTAGGAGCATCCAGTCAGCAAGGTCCTCAAGCTGAGACAGGATAGGAATCGGTGATGTGCACAGCATGGCAGGGCAGTTTTGCCTTCTAGACACGAATGATTGATAAAATCGGCATATGGATTTATACATCCAAACGGCTGGAAGACAAGTCACATGCAAGGAAAGCCCGCAAGGCTGCCCAAAGTCATTCAAGAAGTACAAACATGTAGTACAGGACAAGGTATCCCGAGCTGGAGCGCTGCAGGATGCGTACTCAAAATACTGCACGCGTTTTTTCTCCACATGCAATTTCACTAAGCCAACTGTGCGTCAGGTTCAGGCCCCAAGATGAGGAAAAGCTGTGTACTGCAGGTGCTCACCATAATGGCGCATTTAGGAGTTGGGAATCTAAAACGTATTTTCTTTTCGTTGTTCAATTTCTTTCCAAGGGTAGAAAGGTGTACAGCGAATGAAAACGGAGCAATATAGGCCTTCCTGCCGTCGTAGTACAGTTATTCCCTACAATGCCTCCAGCCAAGTCGATGCTTTCAGACTAATCACGCAGGCCAGTTTTGCAAAGTTCTTCCCCAGCGATTCAACCAGCGAACAACATAGGGATATTTGTAATTGTACGACTAGCGATTTGTACTTTCCGCCAAGCCGAAAGACCCCTTGAAGTAAAGGGCCATTAAGGGAAGCCGTCACAACGAACGTGAGGACCCCATGCAGCTTGCGAGGAGTCCGTCCTGGTTTGCACCGCCTAAACAGCACATGCCACACACTGACTTAGCAAAAGCCTATGGAAGACCCGGAGGCAAACGCCTGATCGATAAATCCCGCTTGCCAGCCCGTCACCACTGCATCCTCGTTTATTAGAACGAACTGAATGAACCCCAACGCAGTCCCCTGAGCGACTTGTGATGAAGGCCGAGGACGGATGAATGTCAAAACCGAACCCCGCCAACCGATGGTATTCGCGATTGCGGCCCTATCCTACACGCATTCATCCAAACTGGCCAGCAACACCGGGTTACCTTAGCGATATGCCAGGCAGGTATAAGCACACGTACAAATGCACCCAGCGATGGCGGACGGCCCTAAGAAACTGAGTTCGTCCCCAGACCCGCACATGGCCTCCCAAGCGCTGAAGACCCGCAAAGAACATATGCGTCGATGCCGCTGGCCTGCCATGACATCCTGAACGAACGAATGGTCCAACGACTGATAGTACGAACTGTTAAAAAGACTACGATTCGTCCGACCTGGACATGCAGCAGTCTTTTGTGATCCATTCGAGAGAGCCTTTCAAAGCAGGAACATTTGACCAAGCAACCACTTAAATCCAATGGCAACCACGAGCGAAATATCATCCTGACCTATCCAAGGTACGACAGCGAAACGAAACGAACTCAACGTTATTACGTGAAAACATTAATGAATTCGGCAACTCACCCGCCATTTAAACACGCCACTTAATCATGCCACGTCGCGTTCGAGCAAGATGTAAATATATTTTTTTCCACATTCGAGCAAAGGGTATGCTGCGCTTTCACTGCGTGCATGCATGTCAGCTTCTAGATCGGTAGTGTGCAACTGCTCTTTTGCAGACTCTTTGACGCCCTACAATTCCAAGTTAGCGATGACCCGTGTCCTTTTGCGCCTTATGCAACGAACCTACCTGTACATAGGTACTGCTGTAGGAGGTTGCAGCGCGTTAGCGCTCTCTCTAGTTACAACCGCAGAACATTAGCACACCTAAGCAAGTTCTGTGCAAAGATTGAGAATACGCATCACTGCAAGAGTGAATCGCCGTGACGGACTTCCATACTGCCTTAGAGCACATTTGGCAGCTCTCATGTACGTCCAGTAGACAAAGAGAATGATGAAAAATGGAAAACGCAGCAATTAAAAAAAATACAACCTAATGAATTTCGACACCTGCCATAATCGCTCTCAGCACTATAGTTGCCGCGTTGCTAGTTACAGGCCTAGTTAACAGAAACCATGCATACAACACGGCAATGTGGCGCAACTCGCTCGGGGCTGAATTGAACTTTCATCAGTGAGCCCCACTCGCCCCGCTGGAGGTTCGGTTCGCTTGCTCAAAGGCAAGAGCCACCGCTCCCAACCGCACGAGCCTCCGTGCTCGCGAGCTGCCTCATGCACCATTCTACGTCTGTAACCGACGATGCGCTCACAATGGGTGGTGACCACGACCCGCAATGCACACGTATGCAAGTTTGGACGCCGTTTTCTTGGTTATGTACGGTAGTAGTAAGGTACGAGTAGTGGTACGAGTAGTGGAAGAAACAAGCTGCCCTCACTAAAATGAATTGGGTCAATGCCAAATCGGGGGTGCTGTCAGCCGGTATGTCGCCCCTATTCCTCCGGGAATAAATAATAGCTGAAATGTTGCCGGTCTTGCGATGTGGCGCCGTGCACGGTGGGTGGCAGATACCGTTTTCCCTGCTGCTGCTAGTGCTGCTGCCACTACTGTTGCTAGTGCTACTGCTGCTGCTGTTGCTGCTGGTCCGCACTGGCCGCCTGTTGCCGTGGACCCCTCTATCACGGGTGGCAGTGGCGGCGATGTGGATGCGAAGTTAGTCCTACCCCCGGGATGCCTATCTAGCTGTCGACAACACCCCCCCCTAAAGGTCTGGAGAGCTGCTGTGCAATTAACGCTACGTGCGGTGCGCCTCTGTTTTGACTTGACACGGCGTAGTATTGCTATTACTGTTCGGAGCTTTAATGACGGAAGGGAGGCCATTTCCAACGTTTTCGAGCTTGCAGGTCGGCAGGCGGGGGTTACATCCGCACGCTTGCCGCACACCGTACCTACCTTGCTCGGCAGCTGCGCTTCGTGCCATCAAACTCTGACAGCGTATGGAAGCGGCCGCATTGCTGGCAGAAGCGCTGCGGGATGCCCTCGCGCATGACGATCTCGGCTTTGAGGTGGTAGTCGCAGATGCGGAACCGCTGGTGGTACTCCTTCAGGCTGGAGAGGTCCACGTTGCAGTCGTCCACGTGACACAGCAGCGGAACCTGTGCGGTACGTGTGTACGACATCGGACACGCAAAGAGCCGTCGATACAGCAGCAGCAGCAGCCGCAGCAGCAGCATTTGCCAGCAGCCAACATCTAATTGAAGCCGGGGTGGGTTGGGGTGCATGTGGAGCTCCCCCAGCTGTGCATGTAGTAAACTAGGGTGGATGCCAATCGATTCCATTGCTGATGGCCGAGATGATGGAACCATTCGCCCAGCAGAGCACATCGAAAAAACAACAATGCTCAAATCCACCGTGATTACCAGATATACCAAACCTCACCAATAATAAAATTGTTCACGACTCCTGGGAGCAGGCAACACGGCCCATGAAGACACCGGGCTAACACCAGTCGTGTGCCACTCCGTTGCTGCTATGGTAAACTTTCAAGTTTGACCCTCAACAAGACGCTGCCGTTGTGTAAGGAAGGTAATTATAATTGATCAGGGGAAAGTGGTGAGGGCGTGCAGAAACCTGCAGTGCTCGTGCTGGCAGTAGCCCCTCACCCACGTTCCGACTTGGCCTACCTTGTTGCTTGGCTGGGCCGCTGGGTTCACGTCCCCTCCCGTACGGCCGCCAAGAGAAGATCTGGTGGCGCTGCGCTGCCCACCAGCGCCACTGCCGCCTCCAGCCGCCCGACTGCCGCCACTGCCCTCCTCCCCGAGATCGGGATACTCTTCCGGCGTCGCCCGCCTTCGCCTTCCACCGCCGCTGCCAAACGGGATACTGGCTGCTGCTGGTGCTACTGCTGCCGGGTCCTCACTCGGAGGCAACGCCATGCTGCTGCTTGGCTGCTGCTTGCCGCCAGAGCGCACCGCCGCGAGTTGCGCCGCTGCGGCCGTGGCCATGGCGACTGCCGCAGCCATGCCGCCAGGGCCGCCGGCAGCAGCAGGTGCTGACGACCAGCGCGGTGGCGGTGCTGCTAGTAACGCCGTCATGCTGCCGAGTCCTACGGCACCGTACCTAGCCGCTGGTGACGACAGCGCCTTGACGTCATTGCCTGTTACCAGTCCACCGCGGCCATCACTGCCACCACCCAGCACTGACACCACAGGCCCCCGGCCGCTGCGGGCAGGAGCACCTGCCGAGGATAGCGCCAGTCCTCCACCCTCATGCTGCTGCTGCTGCTGCTGCTGATGGGCGGCTGCGGCCGCCACCGCTGCAGCCGCTTCTATCGTATTCATCAGAGAGGCGGCATTGCCAAGGGAGTCGGGCCCCAGCAGCCCCGCCGGGCCCGTGCCACCCCTGCTACTGGATGTGAAGCGACTTGTCGGCAGCATCCCGGAGACGCTCGCGCCCGCGCCCTTCCCTTGCCCGGACTGACCCAACCGCTGCATATCCAACGCCTCCGCGTCCATCTCCATTTGAAGAGCCGGCTCCTCAAGCCCCACCCCGCCACCACTGGCACTACTGTCGTCGGCCGTAGCCTCCCACGGCAGTGGGAGCCGTGGGCCTCCGCCGCCGCGAGGTTGCGATGCCGGCGGCCTTTGCTGCTGCTGCTGTACTGGCGACGGCACCGCGATCGCCGCAAGCTGCGCCAAGTGGTCGCTCTGCTGGTGCGCCAGTTCAGGACGCCCTCGCTGCGCAGGGGGTACGCCAGCAGAGGCGGCGGCAGCAGCCCTGCTGGGTCCCTGCTGCTGCAACTTCCGTACCAGTGATGTGGGCAGCAGGGCAACCAGCGGTGCATGGGGTCCCGAGCCCGCGGATACCACCTGCAGGGGAAGCGGCCAAGTACCTAGCAGGTCGCCACTCGCCGCCAGGGCTCCCGACGGCAGCAAGTGCAACGTTAGACCCGCCTGCTCAAGGGCCGACAGGGGTACTGCCAGGAGGGTTTCGCCTCCGGCACTGCCGGCACTGTCCTCGCTCCTGGGGGAGGCTGTATCCGCGTCGTCAGTGCCTAACACCGGGAACAGCGGTAGGTGGGCCGAAAGCAATGGAGCGGGCGCCCGGCTAGGTTCAGCTGGAGCATCCAGGGTGACCACAGGGCGCATGGACGGTCTGCCGGTGACTGCCGCAGCAGACATTGGCACCGTGGCCATTGGAGACAGTGCCGCAAGTCGCCGGATTCCCGGTGTGTCCGCATCGTACCGTGGAGATGTTCCAACCCCAGCGGCGGCTGTGCCCACAGCACGGCTAAACTCTTGCAGCAACGGCGAACGAAACCTGGTTTCTGTGTCGAGATGAGCAGCTGCCGCCGCCACCCCGCCATCCAGGCTGAACACCCGCGGAGCAACTGGTCGGGCCGTGGGTCCCTGCTGTTGCTGCAGCTGCTGGAGGGCTGCACGACTGATGTCGCCGCCGCCGCTGGCCACACCGGCACCTGATGGTGAGCTTCCTGGCCCCGACTGCCGCGCCCCGCCTGCACCACCGCGCTCTACGAGACCGAGCACCCAGCGCTCACCTTTGCCAGGTGATGACTGAGGTGGCGCCCCGCCCCCGCTGCTGTCCCGGTCCCGTTCCGCGGTGTTTGCGAACCCACCGCAGCCACCATCGCCGCTGGGACCCTCTGTCCTGGCCCCACCGCCGGCTGAGCTACTGCCGGGGGACCGCTGCCCTGCCCCAGCTGCCGGGCCAGACCCCGACCGCAACAGCTGCTGTTGCTGCTGCTGATTCCCTACGCGCAGTTGCTGATGGCGCCGTGGCCCCTCGGCTGTCCCCAGCCTCCCAGACTGTCCCGCATCCCGGTGCGGTTGCGGCAGCCCCACTGTGATCAGAGACCCCATACTGCCCAAGCCCGCAGCCGCCCCTGAGCTACCTGCCGAGCGACCAGGATTGGCTCTGGAGCTGCCGTCGCCACCGCCCGTAACCATGCCAGCGCTGCCCGGCAGCACTGCTGCTGCTGCTTCACCGGCCGTCGCTTCCCGATCCGCCGGTTCTGCCTTCGCCACTGCCGGTGCTGGAGCAGCAGCAGGGATACCTTCCTGGAGTCCGGCCACGAAGCCTGGAGACTGCAGCAGCTGCAGCAGCACGGTGGTGGTGATGTTGAGCTCCTTAAACATAACCTCGCACTCCGCCAGGTGTTCCGGCCGCCGTAGGGCCCAGCGCGCAAGCGCCCGCGCAAGGCCCATCTCTCCGGCACTGGCTCGGCAATACGTGAGCAGCAACCGCAGCGCCTCGCTGCTAAGGGCCTGAAAGCTGGATGTGGCGACCACATCGTCGAACCTGAAGGCGATGCAGGAGGGCCACGGAATCTCATAAATCATTCTGCCATTTCGCAAAACTACTTCCAACGGTAAAGCTACAGGTTTGTCATCCGCGCATATTCACGCCAACGGCTGTCAGATCGTTGGAACTCAAACGGTAAGAGTAAGATCCTGAGAGCTCCTAAGAGGATCCTGAGAGCCCTCCTGGCCTTATGGTTTTCCTCGCGGCATGGGCGTGATGATGGCGCGTACTCCTCTCCTAGCTACCACATCACATGCACATGAAGTGTTCGTATCCTGCGTGCTTAAACCACAGCACCGCGTGGCTGTGCTTCCACGGACTGAGCCACAGAGTCTGGTACACCGCTGCGCCTTTGCAACACGCACGAGCCAGACAGCTCCTTGCCGCTGAACGACTGCGTCGCTTTGAGAAAGACTGCAGGGAAGCTTCGTGACAGGCAAGCTCCCCTACCGCATTAAACTGAGCCATTCCCCGTTTACGTAAAACATGTTGAACTGGCAAACTGAAGTTGCCTGCAGTCTGTTCAAGTAACCGTTGACAGCCGACCACGTGGTGTAGCACCACTTACCAACACAGCAGCTAGGCTTTAGCTGTACTGCCGGGTCTGTATCTAAATCCAAGGTAATGGAGTTCGCAGGAAGCGGGGCTGTGTCTCCAATCTATTAGAGAGCCGAGTTTGTGGTGCATGGGCTGTGCCGAACTGTGGGCAGCCTTGCTTGCAAGTGCTGCGTCCAAACCCACGTCGACCCCGTGCGGCGGCATGGGACCCAACTGGGGTCTGCACAGGGATCTACGAGCTGTAAAATCCTGTGGTACAACCATCGCCACAGGACAGACCTATAACACCAATATCCTGCGTCGAGTTCCGTGGTGATGCTTGGTTTCGATGATAACGCAACCCGTCAGCACGCAAAGGAGCTTCTGCGAAGATCTCGATATGGGAATCCACCATTTCGCGACACCATGGCGACATGCATTACTTGCTTGCCCCATCGAGCATCTTGTGAAATAGACAGGCGGTGAGGGAATGCACTGTGTGATTCTCCATTTCATCGGGCAGAACAAAAAAATAATAACGCAGACGCCAATACAATCGAGCTACTCGGGCGAGCGACTCGTTCAATAAAGAAGGGGCAAGATGCGGACACGACCGACACCCTGCGGCCGCGGCCGCAGCTGCACACAGTGCTGTACCAGCTACGTGACTTCCCTGGGCCCGCCCACCACACCGCATCCACCGCGCGCTGCGAATCGAGGACCAAAGCAGGCCGTCGTCCTTCTAAAGAACTGACAGCCTCTCATGGCAGCAATTGCCATAGCGATGCACGGCGAAAACGTCCCGCAGTCTGTTCAAATCAAAACCGTAGATGTGCATTCATGAAGGCCATTTAAAAAAAAGGGAAAGGAGACAAGACGAGCCTAGGTGACATGTTTTGGGAAGTACGCGCGTATCTTTTTATTCGCTAACCGCCGACTTTGCCGCGATCGATTCTCCGTACGTGCTGTCGTCTGCCGAGCGATTGAAGCCAAGTAGTATTGTGGTTGTTTAGTTAGCTCTTTGCACTATCCACTCTCTTTCCTAATCCGAGCAAATGTAACAACCCACTACATTGCGTATGAAGCATTGTCTCAACTGCATACCGTTTGGATTTTTTTTACCTATGTGGCCAGTTGGCGCATTTTAGGCGACGCGTACAGTAGACACGAAAAACAGGGAATCAAAGGATCCCTTCTTTTACGGACCCGCTGAAGCCCGCACCATCTTGCAAGCATTGGGAATCGACGTACTGTCGAGGTCGCTTATCGATTGCCGTACTCAAGTATGCGTGCAACAATCAACCGCTATACATGTTCAAATTTCGAATTTGTCCCAATGCAGCTGCCACTGCCAAGCCTGCATTCTTCATGTCCTTAGCGGACATTACGACGTTGTTCGCTAGCTTCATCAGGGACGGACATGGAATGGGTAGTTTGGTGGCTGCCGCATGAAGTGATTGCCGCAAGCACATGCACACACAGACAGACCCATGCCCTCATACATAACCCACGCGTGTGTGACATGGCCTGCCAACAGCAAACAGCCAGCGCCTGGGATCCTAAGGCCTAATCCACTGTACAGAACAAGGGCAGACGATGCTGCCTGATCTGCACTAGATGCCGATTCACAGCCAGGCTAACACCAAAGGCCTAGTCTCGATACCCTCGCCATCCACGAGGACGCGAATCGCACTTGCATCCATGGCGGAGTAGGTCGCGATCTTAAGCGCCATCCATTTCTGCCTCCCGAACCCAAACACAGATCATGCGCGGGAAAGACAGACAAAAGCGCAAGCGCATACGCACCTGGACTGGCTGTACTCAAGGCACTGCTTGACGGTTTGCTCCAACAGCAGCTGAACGGACGCTTCCAAAAAGATGGGGCACGTCTGCGGATTGAGGTTCTGCTGCAGGTACTGCTCGCAGCCTGCTGCCAGCCCAGGGACCTCCAACTTGAGGCACACATCGTAGATGGGCACGACTGTTTTGGGAGTTAGGAGACACTCGCCGCTGTAGAAGAAGCCGATGACCGTCTCTAAGGCAGCGCTGTCAACCCCTTGGATGGGCAGCTCCTTCCCGGTGGCGTCGCCTGCGTCACCGAAGGGATAAATTGATGATCGGTTGATAATGGTGGGCTTGGAATTCCTCGAAAGCGAAAATCGCGAAAGCGGAAACCGCTTTCGCGGAACCAACTCATCCCGTATGCAAGGGTATGCTTCGTACCTATCTTTCGCGCACTCTCATAACGAAGCTGCACGCCAAAAGCACGCTATCAGGGCAAAGAGACATACCCCACGTAAAGCTCAGTAAAGTAGTCAAGCTGCAGAACAGCCTGTTGAGCCGTAAACAGTAACTCTCACTGGTACGGCCAGAAAGGTACGCGCTAAGAGTACCGCGTCTGCAGAGCCTTACCGTTGGCAAGAACAGCTGCAAACTTGCGTGAAGAGGCTGCGAGGATAACCTGGTGGGAATGAATCGGACGGCCGTCCGGGCGGACCAGGGTGATGTCGCTGAGGCGGGAGTCGTTCAAGAACGCCTGCAGGCCGCGATAGATACCACAAGAAACGTTGCGATATACACGCTCCTGCAGTTGTAAAGCCGAATCAACGTTATTTTCACGTCACCGGTCGTATGGCAAAATACCAAACTGACGCGCGGAGCTCTTTTTAACAATATGGCTCTAAGAAGATGTCTTGTACATTTAAAAGCGTGAAATGCGTCCGGAAACGGTGCTGGTAAGTAAACTTCCAAAGCAGGCCATCCCCCTCTTCACACGGTGGCGTTTGATCACCAGCATTCCACAGTGGTCTAACTCACCAGTGCAGAAGCAGTCTCCACGTCCATAGCCGCTGCCATCGGGCACGCCCAGTCGACGCGCGCTGTTACCTCTAGACGCCTCCAGCTTTCATAAGCCGCTGTTATATTGCCCCTCGCTCACACAACATTTCGTAACACATCTCATACATTTTCCACTGCGATATGATTGTTATAATACATTTCGTCAGCTTCCCGCTCTTAATTTCAACGGCAAACCTCGAAGAAGCTTGTTATAAACAAACCTATACATTCCTATTATTTTTGTCGTGATATTGAATACGCAATTTTTTGTGGATAATCTCTCTGCGGATTCCCAGCCCGTCCGGCCAAGTCGTGGACGAGCGGACGGCGCTTTTTCATCGGGCAAGCCTAACAAAATAGCTATGATGCTAGTAGGTTTCTTTCATCAAGTGCATTCACTGATGAGCTCGCAATACACTAAAATGGCCATTACTGGTTACTGATCCGATTTGGAAAGGGTGCTAAGTTCTAAATACAGGAAATCATATGATTGCCTTTGAAGGACTTCATGCATAGTGCCTTAGCAAATTGTAGCCTGCAAAGGACGCAAGTAGGCCATGTTCGGCAAGTACATCACGACCCTACACGGTACACACAAAGCTCGCGCCCGCCTCATCCAAGGACACGTTGTGCCAGCTTCTTTAAAAAGCATAATGCAATATGAGGAAGTTGCAATCACTGGGTGTACCGTGCATCTCCTTACTCCTCATTTCGCATACTGCACAATATATGCCCCTCCGTGCAATGCGGTACCTTGCGTATATTGTACGATGTACGGTGCGCGTACCACACATGCGTCAGGAAGCGACCCAGGAAATGATTAGTATCACTAGGAAGTGACTCTCTGAAATAGGCATAGGAGCCGGCTCTATTCAAAAGCCTAACGGTTATCAGGTGTCTGGCGCTCCGAAACTCCGTCTTGTTTCTCTTTATACAGATGAGCGTTCCATTAGCTTAGAATTAAGCGCTAGGGATTTTTATAACTGTTAAGATGGCCATGCAGAGCCTTCGACTAGCCAAGGCTCGGCCATTGTTTTCTTCAGGAAGGTGATTACCTTGTACTCTTCTGGTTCCGTGGCTAGCCATGGAGACCTTTCAGCGCGTGGACCCGCCATCAGTCGTGTCCTCAATCTATCCATCCTGGCAGGCGTGGCGCTTCCACTTTTTGCACCAGGGCCATCGCAAAGCAAGGCGATTACTGCCAGGTGCATTACACAGGAACTCTCGATGATGGCTCGGTCTTCGATTCATCTCGCGGACGCGATCCTCTAGAATTTGTCATCGGGGCCGGCAAGGTGCGCCGCCTAGGCCAATCCAGAGAAGGCAAGCCAGCATATCCACTCCACGTGCCTAAACAGGAAAAGGAATTACAAATGCTTTTGCATGGAAAAGTCATTCGTCCTATACATCCGGCTTTCTTTGAGGGATCGTCCATACCTGGCGATCCCATTTTTACAATGTGTGCGCCGCGCTGTGTGTGCCTGACGATGCAGGTTATTAAAGGTTTTGACCTGGCAGTGACAGGCCTGGCCGTAGGTGGCACTCGGAAACAGCGCATTGAGCCGGCCGAGGTGCGGTTGCTGCGCTATGGCGTAGCGGAGGCTTTTCCTGGTAGCACACGATGTCGTACTGCATGGATCCGGCTTTGGCACCTTCTTCCGTCATAGCGCCGCAAGTGCTCATCCACCAGCGTCGGCTGACCAGTAACTTTCTCTCGTGCATATGGGCAGGAATGTTCCCCATTTAAGTTGGTAACCTCAGTACTAGATTCTGCCCCGGTTACCATCTTTTACCTGCTCCCGATATAACTTGTGGTCGCGACGTCATGGCAGCATGACGCCATTCCAGGAGAAGAGCTCGTCAGGACACGGCTGTGCCCCTGCCACAACCCCCCTGGCACATCACAGGCATATGGGGAGGCTGACCCAAATGCCGTGATCTCCTTCCCCATCAGCCAGGCGCCAGATGGACTCGAGCCTGGAGTCAAGGTGCGCTAGGTATAGGTCAAATGGCAAGGCAGGCAGGGGGGGGGGCCCCACAGAAAGTGAAGCGGAAGTGTGCGCGCGCACTTCCCACCTAAGGTCTATGAATACTCGTGTACGCCGCATGTCACCGCGTCAGTCGCCTCCGTGTGGATGTCGATGTGGGAAGCTCTTCTGTATAGCCCGGGGGTTTCGGAGTGAAAGGTCGCAGGCAGACGTTTTTCTGTGCGCCGCGCAGGTCTCCATGAAAGTCATCACATCCACACGTGTCATACACGATATACCGCTTGGTCCCAACCAAATGTAAACCCCTTCTCTATCTCGCCCTCGCCCTGCTGTCGCCCTTCCCTAATTCCCATGGCTTAGCACCTCACTGCGATGCGAGCCACCACATACAGGCCCTGGAATACCCTTTTCCTTCTTTATTGCTCCCCCTATGTAACCAGCATACCGAAGTGCTACCCCGTCCCGACCGGGGAGAAGACGAACAGGAGCCTATATCTCTCCTCCTTATCCTTGCCGTTCCGGCACCCTTGTACGGGCTGGGCCCCCTAGCTGTGCAACTCAACTACTCCCACTTGCGCTCCCACATAGTTACACTCAATTACTCGCTCGCGTGGCTCGCGGGGAGCACTGCAGATGGCGACAGCTTTTACAGAATCAAAAATGGAGTACAGAATCGGACGTAGTTGCAGCAGGAGTTGCACCTGCCTCTGGTGGTCCTCGCTTTGCTCCCGGAGGCCCCGCTGCGTTCGACTAGCTCCCGCTCCCGGATCCGTATGCCCCCGTATGTTCAGGTTCAGCTCTCCAACGGTATGATTGCGACTGTCAAGTCGGTGGACAAGGAAAAGGTGACGTTGGACCTCAACCATGAGTTGGCGGGGAAGCCGCTCACGTTTGATGGTGAGCTCGTTGGAATGGCGACACCCCGGGTCTTCCTTCTGTGGGACTGGGGAAGTGGTTGAATTGGGGGGATAGTTTGCAGGGATTGGGGTGATGAAAGGGTGATGCATAAGGAAGGGTAGTTAAGGGCGTGTGTGCAACGGCGTGGGGACAACGGAGTTGAGGTCCAGTCGCTCGCTGGCGTGGATGACCCCTCCTGCCCGCCTGTCTGTCTCTCTGTCTCTCTGTCTGTCTGGTACTAACCCGCTACGAGGGGGGAAGGTAACACCTCCGCCGGCCGCAAGAAGTTGAAATGCATTTGGCACCCGCGTCTTTGGCGTCTGCGGTTTTGTCCCCTCTCTATGCTGCTCCCCTTGATCGCCGTCGTTTTTTCGTTCTGGTGGTGGTGGTGGGGATTCGGCAGCTCGACAGCGAAAGACTGACCGAATACCGAGTATTACCCGTCCCTACGCGCCCCTACTTCCTACGCCCCCCTCCAGTGGAGCTGATGAAGTTGGTTCCCTCGGAGCGGCTCCAGCGGGCCACCTTCGCGGCGGGTTGCTTCTGGGGCCCCGAGCTGGCCTTCCAGCGGGTGCCCGGAGTGCTGTCCACGGAGGTGGGCTACTCGAACGGCAAGACCGAGAACCCCACGTACGAGGACGTGTGCGGAGGGGATACGGGGCATGCGGAGGTGGTGCAGGTGGGGCCCGTGTGGGGCTGGGGCTGGGGAGTAACCGGAGGAGGTGGAGGGCGGGAGGGAGTTCTGTGTGCACGTGTGTGTGTTTGTGTGTGCGGAGGAAGGAGGGTTTATAAGTAGGGAAGCGTGGAGTGGAGGGCGGGGGGGGTTGCTAGTTACACTGGTGGCTCCCTGAGCGGTCTCCTGATCTGATCAGAGCAGGGTATCTCGCATGGGATCCGTCCCGCGGGTCTACTTTCAGACATGGTCTGCTGTAGGGTGGGTTGTGTGTGTGGGGGGGGGGGAGTTGGGTGGGTTTCCCCGGTGTCGAGGGGGCGATGAGGACATCAACTTGCGGTTATGAGCCTGAATCTCAACCTGATGTCACCATTTGATAACGTTCCTGAGCCCCCTGACACTGCGGGTTGAGTCAGTCGGTTCGTCGTGTGTATGTATGTGTGTGTGTGGGGGGGGGAGGTAGGGCTTCGTCGATGAAAATGTGTTCCGGAGAGGGCCGGAGTGATCTCTCAAGGTGGCTGGTGGGGGTGGCTGCTACTTTCCGTAGATTGGGGAAGGCGGTCTGGAGGCTTCCAACATTGGGGTGGGGTGGGGGAGGTTCCCGGAAGGATTTGTGTTCCCTAGTCATGAAGCCCGTCCCGCTTCCTTTAGCCAGGGCAGGGAGGGTCGTGGGGCGATGTGTTGGGTACTGGGTTCTAGGGCGCGGTACGTCTGGAGCCATCCTGGAGCTATCCGGGCGCTGGTGGGCAATGAGGAGCTACAATATTTTGCGGTTATGAGGCTGAACATTTCATGTTGCCAACCTAAAACACGACTGAGCCCACAGCGCCCGCAGCTCTTAGGTGTGCCTGTAGGTCCGTACGTCCGTACATCTCTTAACTGCCTGTCCGGCAGGAAAACGGTTTCGATATGATGTCATTTCCATGAGGGGTAATTTTTAGTCTCCCCCAGTCGACCTCGCGTCTGTCGTTCGTCATGTTGGGGCAGGGGCACGGGAGCTTTGAGAGTTGTGTACATGCGAGCCGGCATTGCTGCTTTCGCGGTTGTACCTGCCACACGTGATGACGCAGGTTATGTACGACCCTGAGGAGGCGTCGTACGAACGGCTTTTGGAGGAGTTTTGGGCCCGGCACAACCCCACGCAGCTGAACCGGTGGGTGAGAGGCCGCGGTGGCCGCCGTGTGCATGGCGGCGGCTGGGTGTCGGTTTCTAACTTCATAACTTGGACTATGATGACGCTGGCGTGATCTTTAGTCCCATCAGCCTGCAGTGGTGATCCGCCGGGCCACAGATATGTTCTATCATCATCAGCCCCCCACTGCCAATAGGCTCCACACACCTCTTTCCTGTGAAGTCACCTCTGTCCGTCCTGAACCCCGTTTGGCGTCGGCAGTTGTTGTTGTTGTTGTTGTTTTGCACTTTGCACTTCGTACACCATCCGCATCATTATCACGACTGCAGTCGTTCTTTCCGCTTCTGATTCCGCTTCCAAACCGCGTAAATACCCCACCCGCCCCCACACTCTTGACCTGGGGCAGCAGCTTCACTCGTTTGTGGTTCGTCTTTCCCCCCCTCCCTCGGCAGCCAGGGCAACGATGTGGGAACCCAGTACCGTAGCGCCATCTTCACACACACGGCGGAGCAGCTCGAGGCCGCCCTGAAGAGCAAGGAGGTGATACAGGCCAAGTTCAAGTAAGCGCAACGCCCCGCGTGGGTACGGCCTGTGTGATTACCGTGCAGCAATTGCCGCGTACTGAACGCCGTCACTAGCTCTGCAACTTCTGACTAAGGCCTCTGAAACCCCTGATCCGCGCCCACAAGCCCCCGCTTGCACTGATTCAAAATCTCGATGCTTCATTGCCCAGATGTACCGTCAATAGGAACGGGATGTACGGATAATGCGTACGGCGTGTCTTGCACAGAAATCCACCTGGCGTTACGTTCCTCCGGCGCATCGTCATCTTCAAATGAAGCCGTATTACACATTACGTTTCCTTCGTCACCACAAGTGGTCGGTGTGTATTCGTGGGCTCCCCTTCCCTCCATCCCCTCCCCCGTCCCATCCCCCTCTTTTAGAGAACCCATCGTGACTCAGGTGGAGCCCATTGAGAACTACCACCCCGCCGAGCCCTACCACCAGCAGTACCTAGCCCGGGGAGGGAGGTTCGGACGGCCGCAGAACTCGGCCAAAGGGTAGGAAGGGTGTCAGGGGTGGGAGGAGCGGGTGGGGCGGCGGCATGAAGACGGTACACGAGCACATACACGCTGTCTGTGTGTGTGAGGGGGAACTGGGGTGCTTGTAATACCACCACGACACACGTTCTGGTCGTGCTTTGTTTCTGGCCGCTCTCGTTCCGCGGATTGTACTGCACCGGCGTGTCCGAGTACGCACGGTCGTGTATTGGTGACAGACGCCGACGCGCGTTCTTGCTCATGAGCCCATGTTAACCATCCACTTGTCACCTCACCAGCCTAAGCCCCGGCGTAGCAATTAAGACTTTATAATAGTCGCCGACCTGTAGCCATTTGCGTAATAGATCATCACAGCACTACCGCATATGTAGAACTTCCAGGTGACTTTTTAAGCCAATGCGTCCCCTTGGTCCGATTCCTTGGCCGAGTGGCGCTGCTTACGCTGCGGCCCTTTCTGTGTCCCCTGCGGCCCTCTGGTACGTTCCTCATGCTGCTTCGCCGGTGGCGGTACGACAACCCTGCAGGTGCAACGACCCCATCCGCTGCTACGGCTAAGTATCTTTTGGATTCGATGGTCCAGTCCTGCCTGTTGGGTTAGGCACAGCGCCATGGCAGGGATAGCACACCGCTTGTGCGGTCGTTGTGATTGGAGCTGTTGGATGGAGCGGTTTTTTTTGCGTTGTTGTAAAGCTGCACAAGCGGCTGTTCTGCTGCATGCTGGTGGGGAGCGCTGAAACAGGGCGCTGTAATCGTGTTAGAATCCTCTGCGTTTTGGAAGAGGGGGTTGCTGCAGCGATTGTGCCGGACTTGGCTCGGTGATTGTGCAAAGTCGTAGGAGCAGCGTGTCCATTGGGTAATCGGACATTATCGTGCAGGTAGACACCGGTGTGCAGGTCGTTTGGCGGGGGAGGTGTTGAAGGCATGGATATTAAAGCGATGCTGATTTTCGAAAGCGGTTTGCGTAGCGTGTGGTGAACGGATAGGATTTAACCCGGGTTTAGCAGTCACGTTACGGAGCGTTTTTGGCGGCTTTTGTTTTTTCCTCGCTCTAGCTGTTGAGTTATATGGCAACTCTACTGGAAACAAAACCATTACGCAACCGCGATTATGTAAACTCACATTTACCCAACAACCCAAATATAGGGTTTCTAAAGATTTGATACGTGCTGGCACGTGGACGGACCATCGGATGGCGCAGAATGAACGTCCGGTGAATCAGCAGTCATTGATAAGATAAGTATGGGCTCCATCGTCCAGAACTCTAAGAAATCTTTCAGCCGTGTGGGGAAAGCTGTCACCTTTCCTTGACTTGACTTACGGCGTGCACTTTCGATGGAAGATGCTCATCAGGGAGATACCAGGGAGATACCTGGGAAAGCTACCGTGTCGCTAAAACCTCACGAGCAGGACGGTGGCGGTGAAGAGCCTTGGTCCAATTCTTCTGGGTCGCAAAGCCACGCAGCTGCCAATAAGGTGGTCAAAGAGCACAGCAACTAAAAACAGCTCCCTGATCGAGGGTGCGTCACACTATCCTGACTCGCCCGACACGACAATACTGATACTGCTCCCCCTTATCGACCTCGTGGAAAGTAGGCAAGCTCACCCTCCGAACTGAAAGCTATAAAAAAAGGACACGGGAACACAACACCTCCAAGGCCCCGGTCGCCGCCCGACATGAAATCTGAATTAGCACTGAGCAAGAGGACTCTTCAAAAAGTACTACAGAAGGTACTGCAGAGCGCCGACGCCATCCAACAGTACGGCACTAGGAAGAGCAACCCTACATCGTCTACGTACAAGCCGATGGATACACAACCCCTACACATGCATCCTTCGGGCAACAAGAACGCCTTCGACATCCGACGAGGCCTCAACAGCACTTCGTTTAGAATCAAACAAACAAACATCAAACATACATGCCAGAGCTCGCATCCCCAAACTACACTGCCGCTCTACCCTTCTCTGCACAAGGGCAAATCCTAACTAGCAAAAGATCTGCATGACTCACCCACTCACTCAATCAGCCGTTATGCTGGTCAACACACGTTATCAAACCTTTCCTGCGTTCCGGGGCCCCCTGCCCGCGTTATTAATCACTGCCAGAACCCCGCGCCACACCTCCCAATGCACCTTTCCTTCCCCCTGCTCCGGTGTCGCCCGCCTCCGAGTTGCCCGTCCGGCCGCCGCCGCCGCCGCCATGTTTAGGCGCCATCTTGACCACATGACACAGGAACTCATCCCGGGCACCGCCGGGGCGGCGCCACATCTCGAACAAATCGCCAGGCTGTGCGCCGTACAGGAACATGGGCAACGCGAGGTTGGAAGCCAAGGTAGCGTACTTATGTCGTACGTTGCTCTGTGAGTCGTACGGCAGAGGGAGGCGGTATCGGAACTCCACCTACAGTCCAAGAGGCCGAAAGGACCGGAATGCACCGGCGGGTGAGGCGCCGGCAGGGGGGGAGACGGAGGCCCCCACGACCGGGAAAGGGGAAAAGGACGAATCAGATGAGGGTGGGTATTGCACGACATCGTCCCGTGCCGTCCCGTGTGCGCCAGGCGATGGGGAATGTCGTGGGGGACCCGCGTGGGGCCTCACAGCAAAAACAACGGACATGCCTAAGAACTGAGGCGCCCCTCCAGCTCCCCCCGCCACCAGCTCTGCACTGCTCGGTACTCACTGCCACCCCGCAGGAAAACAGCGCCCAATGGCAGCACCCTGTCCTCCGCTTCTGCTGTGTCTGTCCATCCACCCATCCGTCCATCTGCCTGCCTGTTTGTCTGTTTATCTGTCAATCGATCACGAATTATAGACCTCACGAATCTTCCCCTTGAACACCGCAACCTCTGCACGAAGACCCGTAGAGTCGCTAAAGAGGGGAGCTGCAACACCCGGGGTTTGGGGGGTGTGGGGGGGGATTCTGGCCCAGACTTCATAATTGCCACCACCGAAAACGACACATCGCCCGTTACTAGCACAAAGCGCAGTTCACCCACTCCCTCACCTAAGCTGCCAAAAGCACCCGAAAATTTCCAAACCACTCTGCCGCCTCTTGGCGCGAAAACGCGACGGACTTGCCTGGAAACGAGCCTCGGGACAGGCTTCCGGAATGACCGTGACATTCAGCGACTGAATCCGCATCTGCGCCGCCGTCACTGCCACCGCTGCTGTCGACTCCCTTCCCCCTCCTCCCCCTCCTCCTCCTCCGCCGCCGCCTTTTCCCAAGTCCTTGCAGCCCTCAGCCCTTCCAGGCCCTGCCCGGCACCCGCACGCCGCTCCCGTCTGCAGTGACGCAACCCCACCGCCGCCGTCTCCGCCGCCACCATTATCCCCCCCTTTGGACACCGTCGTACCGCCTCCGGCGCCGCTGCCAGCCCGGCAGCCGCCGACCTCAGGAACTCCGTCGCCGTCTCCTGGGCTCCCTGACGGAGGCGTTGCGGCGGCTTCAACACCCGCGCCAGCGGCGGGGCCCCCATCCCCCGAACCGCAGGATCCTGCACCGCCCGGTCCCCGGTCTCTGTGGGTGGCTTTCAGCAATTGACGAAAGAGCCGCTCCGCCGCCAGCGGAGCCAGATCGAAGCTTCGATTGTCGAAGAGGTTCGCTCCAAGCTGGAGCCGTAGTACGCCACCGTCGTCGTCGTCGCTTGCACTCGCCTCGCCGGCGGCCGTGCCTGGGCGATATTGGCGGCTCAAACTGCCGCCGTGGACTCGGTAGTACGTCCAGACGTGTGAATTAGCCACTTGGACGAGCGCGCCGCCGCCGTCGCTGCGAGGGGATATCTGCAACAGCGTATCCGCGGAGGTTCCGGGCACTAAGGGCCACCCATCCACCACGCGCAGGAGCATGCCGTTGGACTCATATCGCCGCAGCAGCGCACGCGCAGAGAACGGTGAGGCGGTAGCGGCTGCGGAGCCATTGCCGCCACCGCCATTGCCGCCACCGGGTTCATCTCCCCCGGCGGCGGCCGCAGCGGCGGTGGCGGCGGCGGCTGCGGGCGGCTCCACGTGAAGCGTCACGAGCTGCGGCTTCGTACGAACGGCATCCACTAGTGTCGGCCATATCACCCTGGCTGCGCGCATGCTAAAGCGCAGCGTAGCCGCGTGACCCGCCCGGGGCACGAGCGGCCAGGGGGGCCCCATGGATTGGCGTTTACTTCCCGCCCGCCCCACGTGGTGGCCGCTGGCTGCAGTCCGCGCTGCACCACCGGAGCGGCGCACTGCCCTTCCTCCCACGGAGTCACCCCAGTCGGCAGATTTCCCCGTCACCACGCCAGCCTCCACCAGCGCCTGCCGCTTTCTGTCACATGGGCCGAAACCCCCTCTTACCCCTCCGTCTGCTGCTGCCGCTGCTAAAGCTGTCACCGCAGCGGCTCCCTGAGGGCGGCGCCGTTGCGTCGGGCTCTCTGACTCATTATTGCCTTCCTGATCCACAGCCGCCTCCATGTCGCTGTCGTAGCTCCCGCTGCTGCTGTAGCTGCTACAGCTGTGGCACGTGCCGTAGCTACTTGCGTTGTCCTCGATGTCGCTACTGTCGCTGCGACTGCTGTAACTACCATGAACCCCCCTGCCGCTCAGGTCGCTTTTAACCCCACTCCCTTGAATCTGCACGCCGCCTCCCTGCGCAAGAGCCGTGTGCTCCACACCGACGGGACCCCGGCGAGCATCGCTGCAGCCGCCAGCGGTGCCGAAGCCACCGCCGCTGCGCCCCTGGGCCAAGCCAGGCGCGTCCATCAGTACGGCGCCAGTGGGCAGTTGCCGGCTGGTTCTGGAGCCCGGAGCACGCATCGCGGGAGGGAGTCGCGAGGGGCCTGGCAGGAAGACGGGTGCGGCCAGTGGTGGAGGCGCAGTTGGCGAGGGCCGTCTCTGTGTGTCAGAGGCCAGGAGGGCCCCAGGTGGCGCCGCTCCCGATGGCGGGGCTGAGGTGCGGCACATGGGCGGGCGCTGCTGGCCCGGCGCCGTCCCAGCTGCGGAGGAGCCCTGGTTCTCTAAGCCGCCATTGCGTGATAAGGCCAGCAGTAATGGCACGGCTGCGCCTTGGCCATGAGCAGAGGCGGCTGTACTGGAGCCGCCAAGGCCGTTTAGCGTTTTTAGGCCCGGTAGGCGGCCTCGCCCTGGCGGGCAGCGTGAGGCAGCTGCAGCGCCTGACGCTGACCCCGTGTTGCTAAGATGGCCCCCAGCGGCTACGTCTGCCGCTGCCGCTTTCGTGTCCACCACGCCTGCACTGCGTAACCCGCAGTTCATGTCGATGCTAGGAGGGCTGGATTGTCGTTGGCTGGCTTCGCGGCTTGCGGCACAAGCTTGTAGCCTTTTGGCTGCTGTTGCAGCCTTCGTTGCGAATCGACGGTGATGGACTACACCGTCTGCAGTCTCCTGGCTGATAAGTCCTGGCGTATTTGATGAGTCGATGGATAGCACTCTTGCCTCACTGGAGGGTGCTCCGAGAACAACAGGTGCTCCTGAATCCTGCGACTCTTCCTGCCTTTGGCGCTTGTAGGACACAGCTGCGACATGATCATCTGCTATTTCGCAACTGTCCATGCGTATTTCTTTCGTGACAAGGAGGGAAGCTCCGCTTATGCAATTGTAGGTCAATGCGTATAACCAGCTTGGTAACTCATCACCCGCAACGTAAAAAACGCTGTATAGTTTGCCCCCCACCTCTAGACCGCCTCCTGACCGCTGCAGCCTCGTTTGCTAACACAGGACTCCTGTGATATGCTCCACATTGTCAATTGTACCGACAACAAACCAACGTAACATGCCATAGCAGCGTGACATTAAGTGCCAATGGAACCACTAAAAGAGTAAACGTTCATTATTGTCATCTGCCATTCGCAAATGTGCAAATGCTCGTAAGGCCCAGACACAAATTCTGCCTCCATATGGACCGCGAGGTAAACCTTTATCTAAAAGAGGTAAACTACCGTTGAGAACACGGATGCGGATGTTGGGCGAGCTTTAGCCTTCATTTCTCATCAGGTGGCGTGCAGCACGCTCACTTCCAGAAGAGAGAAGCAACTAACATGGAGGAGCACGTTTAAGCGGCCAGAAAACTCCAATGTTTTGTCGCATCACGACCTGTGTAATGTACTTTGCAGATCATCACCAGGCAACCGCTGATTATAATCCTGTTGGAACAGTTAAAATTTGAAGCCTTACGCGCCCAAGTGACAGAGCATCAACACTTCATAATGAACGAGCAGCAAAGGCAAGATCTGTATCTGTCAGGCTGATCAAGGCGAATTGTATGCTGGACTGTTGGAGAGAAACCTTGCCAACGGTTTCTCGGTTTTGGATACTCGTCATCGTTGCGCACATATCGTTGTGCACATCGTTGTTCATATATCGTTATAGTTTTAATGTTGTGGACGATTACCTATGGGGCTATATGGCCAAGAGACACGTATGATAGGTTTGCTCACGAGGAAATCCACTTGCGAAGTGTTGTATGCCCCGACCTGTTGTCAAGATAAGAGACGCAACAGTTATACAGACTGGTGGAAGGATGCCGTATTCTACCGGAATCCGAGATGGGCCACCTGCGCCCCACGATCAACACATAGGCACACGCGGTTGGCAGCGGCTTCCCAACGTTCCTCATATGCATCTATCCGCACCCATGGAACACTGTGTATGCCGTTAATGGGCCTGACTCGTACATTCTTCTCAGACTTTTGCCGTAAACAGATCTAACTCCCCCCTACGTGTGGGTGTTGCATGTCCATCACGGCTTGTAGATTTACATGTTTTATCTATGAACCAGCCTGTGCCTCATCACACCTAATCGAAAAAATTATGGCTGGCTTCCAAACGGCGGTCGCTGATCCCCAACCGACGGGCAATACGGCAGCCGGCAATACGAAAACCCTATCTAAGCCCTCTTGCGCGCCGGCAGGTGCGGTGGCGGGACTCCGAGCATCACCTGCCGAAACAGGCAGTACGGTAGTACAGTAAGTACTCCTGCTGTTTTCCGGTGGTGTCGGCGGCAGTCCCCACATTTAATTCATACAGTGGCTCAGACGAACATTGAAAGGGGTGATCGATGTCGGGCTAGTCTGGATGAGAGCATGATTAGGACCGCTTTTGGACACTTGCTGGTGCTGGACAACAAGTCCTCAGTAAGTAAATTGCCGGCACGATGAATGTTGTGGATGTTGCCATCGGGGATGGATGCGTGATAAGGATCACGGATGGACGTGCTAGAACAATTTCACAAACAAGTCACCCTTCACCAACACGGTCGCAACTAGCAAAGAAACCTTTTTTCCACCGACAAGGGCAACGTAGGCTCAGTGTACGGCAAAGCTCAGGCGACACTGTGGCGTCAACTCTTGGAGTCAAATGAAGTCACAGAGAGGACGAGCCAGGCTGCACGTTGGTGCACACCAGCCCCAGCATCCCCTTCCTAAATTCACAGGCAACCACAGAACCCGCTTCAACAACCCGCACCATGACATGATAGCAACACGATCTCCCCCCGTGCGGGACTCTGCGGGCATTGAAATTACGTATGTGGCCTTGATGGGCAGGCGGGCGAAGTCCAGTGTGCGTGAAGCGGCGGTGCGCAGGAGTCAAGTAAAGCTGCCATCGGTTGCGAGTAGCAACTCACTTGTAGTGGTGCGCCGAGACTTTTACCCTGGGCCGCCCCCCAGGTCTTCCGATCAGAAGCGGAAAGCTCCTCTGCCGTCAAGTCAAGAGTTGGATCTTAATAGTGATAAGGGTTCGGGAATCGCATGGAAGTTGCCATTGGCGTGCTCGCTGTCATTACTACCTACGAAAGATACCCATCGGCATTGTGGTGCCAAGGACCCCTCAGAGAGGTCTTACCCGCTGGATGGAGAGTTGAGAGAGGTCTTAACCTGACCTGGTATTCCGATCCAGTACCCATCCCGCTCATGCACCACCACGCGCTGCTTATCCCCCAATCAGGCAAAAATCCTCCTACTTGTGCGTCTCACATAGATTTATATAGCCCCTTAGATGCTGGTTATATATTAAAAATAGGTCGTTCTCCCTTTTATGGAAATCGACATACACACATGCACACACGATGCCCCCGTACTCGACGGGAATATAGCTTACAGCAAGGCCTCTCCACGTACCACCATAACTGTCGTGTGTTTGGATACAGTTGTTTGTTGCCTTGCTTGCAAGGCCTTACAGTGTACTACGTACCGACAGGATTGGAAATATGATACACCGGGAACAGCTTTTCCGTGAGTTCTCCGTGAGTGAGCTCCGTGAGTGGGCTCCGTGCCTGCGAACCCGACGTGGTGGCGGATTACATCTCTCCTCCGTCGCTAGAAACGCCCCGCAACGCCCCGTACACGAGTTACGATGCAATGTCAAGGCCCTTGCGGGGCACGTTGACCCCCCCCCCAGCTTATCCTCCTAGCTACTACGCCCTGGCGGTTAGGGAGGGGGAGCCACAGCTGCCTCACAGTCGCTGGCGCAGGAAGATACGACACCTTCATAACGCCACACCTCCCTCAAACCCCCCCTGAAGGTTAGCATTCCCCCCTTCCCATGCCATCATTGACAGCAACAAGCTTCGACGAGGGGCGGGAAGGATCCCCGTGGTGGAATGACTAGACAGCTCGCGAGTGTCAAGAACTCTCCTCACCATCACCTCTTAACAATATTCGCCTCCTACACTCAATCCTTGGCCAATATGCGCGGACATGTATAAACTTGTTGGTGGCTCCTAGGTTCCCTCAGCCTCCGCAAGGGGAATGGCTCGCAAAAAGAGGAAGAAAAGAGGAAGAAGGGGAAGACTTTGGCAAGACCAAAATTTTGCACGCACCAGCATGCGAACCTTCCAGATCGCCTAACAACGATGTCAAGGCAGGTGCTGGTGTGCGACATCCCGAGGAAGGGCTATTTGCGGAGTCTGCTTGCCCCTTACGGCCCCACTCCCTTCTTCTTTCCACATGGCCCCCTGCTCCTGAACCTCCCCCGCCACCTCCTCCCCTGCCGCCTCCTCCTCCTCCTCGATCTTCTCGACCTTTTGCAGTCCCTCACCACTTCTGTAGTGTTCCACAGGCACTAGAGTGTCCAGATTCAATACGGAGCCCAACATCCCATTCCGGGGGTTGCCGCGGTACACCATCATGCGGCGGCCCGCCAGGTCGTACAGTACCGTACACAGAGTGTAGACCAAGCCGCCGTAATCGCCCGTGCGGTAGATGGGGAACTCCGCGTCTGTCGTGTCACCGAGGATTGCCAGCACGTCCTCGGCACTGAGGGGCATGTTGAACTGAGCGAAGCGAGCTTCCCGGTGGACGCTGCTATTGTCGAGCTTTTGAGGCTGCATGGGTGGGCGTTATGGAAGGGAGGGGATGCATTGCGTCCTGCGAGGTGTGTGTCGCGTTTTTCCAGCAACCAGCAGCACGGCCTTGGATTAGAGTTACATGCGCATTGGGATGCTTGAGCCCCGACCATATCGCATTGTCGTAGACGTCTCCCGCGGTTTCTCTAATACTGTGACGCGCTGCCCCCCTGAGACCTCCTCGTGAAACCATCAAGCCCATAAAGGCGGACAGCCGTGCATGGGGAGCGGAAGAAAATTTACCATCTGAAAGATTTAGGTAAATCATAATTTGGGGTGCGGTGGAGCTGGTTTGGTGTATATACTCCTTGGAACTGTCTGTTGGAGATGTGAAGTAGCGTGTGTAGTAGTGGCGTGTGATGGTCGCCCGTTCGGGGACTTGATGGTCTCTGTTATACTGAGCGTATATGGTTTCGACATCGCAAGGTTTTCAATCGACAGTTGCCGTCAAATGATACAAACTTTCCACAAAGTTTCAACTTGGAGACGAACTGGTAACCGTCAACTGACAATCTGGTTATTGCCCGACTTGGCCTAAGCCCGAAGCAACTGCACGCTTTCCCAGGAAATATACATCCATAATTGTACGCTTACAGCTGCGTTTTCGAAAAGAGTGCGAGCTCTGCGTGTAAAACGATTGGTTCTGGAGCGTTCAGGGCCGCGATGCATAGGGCCCCTTATCTATATCTGTGCCTCGGGAGTATTTCAAGCGCTAAGCCCCCTTCAATTTTCATCTTGTGGTATTCTCAAGCCTAACCTGTCAAGGTTCAGCTCTTGAACGCGCGCAAGGTTAGTTGTCGTGTGAATTGCAAATCGTAGAAACTACTACCACGCATTGGAACATATTTTGCAGCTTCACTGCGCGAAACAACCTAGATCCGAGTGAACATTTCGCAAAATCGTTTCCGATTTCGCGCAGGTCGCCAGGAGAACGCCGTCAACTGCCATTGCTCATCGAACGAGCAAGGTACAAGACCACCCCCATCTATCAAGTTTCAACTTCAGAACCTTCACAAGATGTCCATGGCTGTGCGTTCCTCTTTCGCCGCCCGTGTGGCTGGCGCTCGCCCGGCTGTCCGTGCCGCGCGGCCCTCGGCCCGCACTGTGAGCGTCAACGCCTATAAGGTCACGTTTAAGACCCCTAGCGGCGACAAGGTCGTGGAGGTGGCCGACGATGTCTACCTGCTGGACGCGGCCGAGGAGGCTGGTATGGACCTGCCGTACTCTTGCCGTGCAGGCGCTTGCTCTAGCTGCGCCGGCAAGATTGTGTCGGGCACCGTGGACCAGAGCGACCAGAGCTTCCTGGACGATAAGCAGATGGAGGCTGGCTTCGTGCTCACCTGCGTGGCCTACGCCACTTCGGACCTGGTCATCCTGACCAACCAGGAGGAGGGTCTCTACTAAGTAAAACGGGCGTTCTTCATTTATGTTTTTGCATTCATTGCATTCTGAGGTTAGGTCCGGCTGGGAATCGATCGGGTGATCTATAGAGATATGAAGTCGGGTGTGGCAAGCAGGCTGCCGAGGTACCGTGCAGAGCCTGCATGACACCTCATTATATGCTTGAAAGCATCTTTGCGGTTATAGGCTGATGTCAGGAGGATGTGAAGGAAAGCTTGGCTTCGGAGCGTTGGCAACGCGTGCGGTATAGCGCTGTAGACGTGGTGTGTCTCACTAGCAGAGCCAATTTTGAACTCGAGGCCGCCTGCTTGTTAACATATCCATTCCCTCTTTCTCGAAGGAAGATGTAGAACAGCGTCTTTTCCTTGATTCAGAGACCATGTGCTTATGTACCCGAAACACCTAGCCGCCTGCGCTTGTTTGGGTAGCAACTTCGGCTACTTGTAAGACACATTTCCAAGACTGTAGTAATGAGTCCACCTAAATGAGTTCCTTTGATAAGGCCAGGTGCTATGGAAACGGGCCAACCTCTCGACCCAAGCCATTAGGCTGGACCACAACCAGCTCACCCACCTGCGGTAGGCGCATGTACGCGTTGGCATGATAATACCAGTTGTTGCCAGTCAGCTCCATAATGTCATGTGTACCACCGGGCCCAACCTCCACATTCCACAAAGCAATCGGAGGCTTCGTGCTCATGAGGTTGACCGACCGACCGGTAGCCTGTAAGACCACACCAGTAGCCACCCGACGGACCCGTACACGCACAAAGATACAGGGAAAGAACGCTGGATTGAACCATAAACGATAGTTCACATGTTAAGAGCCAGTCAAATCAGAGAAAAGCCGAATCCGGAGATAACGTATAGATTCCAAACAACACAACACAAAAGATCGCATCCTGGGCTGTGCAGATTTTGTTATGGTTGGGCTGAAGGTTATTTCAGATGCAGTAATATACGCGGTGCGCGGGTCAGTGAAACGTGTGGCCTCCTGTGCAGTGATGCGGACCAATATAAATCATCTAACATTCCCATCACACCCAATCTGCGCTGAACAGCCTAAATTGTATTTTACCAAACTACGGGCCCCCGAACAGCTCTCATAGTCCGTGTTCCTCTGCCGCCGCCCAAATCACCTTATCCCACCGCTCCTCACCTTCCACGGCCCTCCTGCCCCACTGGATGTAAATCTTTCCGCGACTATCTCCCACCTCGTCCACAACCATCCAAGCCCCCCCCCTCTGACCTGCGCCGCCCAGCCACATACACATATGATATTCCCCATCCTCCCTCTCCTATGCGTCCGCCCACGTCAAGAGCTCGTTGCCTCCACTTCAACACCGGTCCTTCCTTCCTTCCCCCTAGCCCCAAGCCAACGGTCGGGGGTTTCCGCGTTCCCCTCCCAGCCCCGTTCCGAGTCAGCTTCCCCTGTCTCCCGCCATCCCCCCTCCCCTTCCCTCCCTACCTACAAACCATCTAGTCATACACACTTCCCCTTTGCATTTCTACCTCGCCCTCCCCCCCGTCTCTGCCCTCCCCCCCCCCTACCTGGTCTCCCACCGCCAGTACCTCCAGCGCATCCTCCACGCTGCTTGAGTCCAGCAGCCGCCGAGACAGGAAGTTGCGACCCAGACCGGGAAGCAGCGCACCGCGGGGATACAGCGCATTGAGCGTAAACGCCACCCCGGCGGTGTTGGCTCCGAAGGCGGTGGACGCAAGCTCCCCGGCATACGTGAGGCGCGAACCA